TACCTACATTGCCCAAAAGCAGTCAGTCTTTCTAGTGTTAATAAAATTCACAGACGTTGACTACCATTTATATAGACGTCGTTGTAAACTTATTAAATCAAGGATCAAAGAAGGAAGGATCACTATTGTGGCGCGATATTCCATAATGTTGTCACGTCTTTTCTCCATTCTATTAGCTGCATCGTTGTTAATTCCGTGATCATCGTCAACCTCGACGAGGTTGCATACGTGGTTAAACAAATATTTCTCGACGTAACAATTAGCGATGCAACGATAACGAATTTCATGCTAGTTGCTTCTAATGTTGTCATTATAATTATAGTTGGTGTATGTAGGTGTATATATGTAATTACGTATGCGAAAATAATTTTATTAATCAAATTCGTAGACAGCGTATTTCGTTTGGAAACGATTTCTTGGGAATATTGAGAACTATTGAAGAAGGGATTCTCTGGATAAATCTGAAGCGCGGAAACTGAAAATCCTAGCGATTCCGTTCCACGTTGAACGAAGATATTTGTGCATTATTGCGTTCAATGAATTCCTTTTAATTTAAAGTTGCACACTAAAAACGGTCGGAAATTCCATTCACGACGTTTGTGGATTGTGAAGCACGAACGTTGGCACGTTGCATTTGAATAATGCCTTTGTGCAGGCGCCGGCGGACTTTCCTCAAAGGACGAACTATTTTGTTACGACGCTGCCAACGGATTCTTTGCAACGTCTCACCTTGATAGTTCATCTTTGAGCAGGTGCTGGAGTTTTGTCTTGACAGGAGCTTCTCAATTGTGTTCGACACTCATTTCTCTTAAACATTTGTCAATTTCGAATAGAATATAAAATCTAAATTTTGATGATATTACACTTCAATTGATATTGATGATGATTTTAGTACACTTTGCCAAATGATTTTATGTTCTCACTAGAAAGTTTCTCACGTTTCTCGAAGATTAAGTTTGTTAAGTAGCTTCAATTTCTATCAATGTCTTTTATTCATCCTTCGAAGTTTCAACATGATTACAATCACATTTAACGAAGATTAAATAAGCTGCTACGTTTATTTTATTTCAATTCACAGTTCATCGATAATTCATTTAATCTTCCTGTATAGAATAATAATACTCTTTCAACTGAATGCTTGTGACATTATTTATTTCCCTCTTGGGAAGCTATTAGTTTTGCTTTCTTTTATTTTTACTCCTATTGATCCACCGTGGGTACTTGATCAAAAATTTAACGCTTCTACAAGAATAGACTTGAAACCGGCTCCGAATATCTTCCGTAGCGCAATGATCCTCATCGTATTTCGGGCTATTGTTTCATTTAATCGACAGGAAATAACCGTCGATAAGCACCAATTCTATTTCTGTCCCAGGCAGAAAAAGTAGCACACACCGTTTCATTCGTTTCATCCGACCTACTCTCTCCTGGACGGGTTCCTTTTTTCTGCTCCGTGAAAATCTGCACTTTGTTTGGAACTGCGATGGTCGTTCCGCTACTTTCGAGAGCGATTAATTAGGGGTGAGGAACCGTATCTCTCTCTCTCTCCTTCTCTCTCTCTCTCATTAGACGTGCAACTAGCGTGCTCACGTATTGGTTACGGGTCGATAGAGCACGGTACTACAAATAACTATAGTCCATGACAATTATTGTCGCAGGTATAATGAGAATTATCGACAGCGAGTTATTATCGCCAGGCGAGAAATAATTCACATTATCAGAACCAATGATCAACTCATCGACTAAAATGCTATAAAAATACTAAGCATATCGTTTATCATAATATATTCTCTACTTCCACGTTATTTTTTAAATCAATTAATTGTTACAAGTTAGGATCTGTTAATCTATTGGAAACATGTACGAAATCCGGACGGTTCCGTGTAGTTGGCATATAGTATTGTGAATTGTATGCTTGTGTGTAGTACAAAACAGATCAAACACCGAAAATTCAGGAAGCGACAAGACTGAGGGAGTGTTTCG